CAGCCACCTGGATTTCGGCGAGGGCTGGGAGGGAAGTGCCAGCATGGCCCCTGCACACTGATGAGTTTGATCCTGACTAAAATCAATAGGAGTGAACGGGAGAGATTTCCTAATCCATTTGGATCATGTTCCATGTCAGGTTAGCTCGGGTTGCCACGCGTTGATGAATGTTCTGACGGCACAGATCCGTTTTCCCTGTCGGTACATCAGCAGAGCTGTTTTCAGCACCAGCTCTCCAATCTCCAGATTATGGCATAGGCCTTAATTTACACTTGGCTCAGGGATATTCCACGGCTGCCACAGAGCTGTGCCGAGCCAGGGCTGGGGTCCCTCCGTGTGGGCACGAACTGCACAGCAGTGGAACTGCAGAGCTTACGGATTTTCTCTCATCCCTGTAAGTGACGTGTCAGATGATGTTTGCTGCCACCGTTTTAGTCCCACATACTTTGCAGCGCTGGAAGCAGAGATGGAATTCTGCTCCGGCTCTCTCTGCTCACCACAGCCCCGTGCGAGCACTGCCGTGTGCCTGAGCTCATCCCGTGCAGGGGAGCAGTGCTTGGAAAATCTGGAGGAGTTCCAGCTGTGTATTTCAGAGTTGCTCCCCAGCCCTGGGGCTTTGTCTGCACTGAGCCACTGCAGCCTGTCCTACCCCCAGGGATGGGTCAGACTTGCAGTGCTCCCCAGGCCAGGCTGTTTTCCCCGTGGCAGGTGGGATGCTCTGAGCTGGGCCTGGGCTGGGGCTGGGGCTGGATTCCGACTCCCCAGGCTGGGCCTGTGCAGGGGCTGGGGCTGGATTCCGACTCCCCACGTTTCCAGGTGAGGTGTTTTCCCCGTGGCAGGTGGGATGCTCCGAGCTGGACCTGTGCCGTTTGGCAGGGCCCTGGGGCAGGACTGGCTGCACATCACCCTCTCTAACTGTGCCCTTATTTGCCTCAGTAAGGCAAACTTGGCTGTGCCTCCCCAAATCCCCTGATCTGTTTGTCCAACTGCTGCAGCTGGAATGAGATTGATCGGTAAAACTGACACCGAGCGCGGGGCGCGGGTCCCTCCACCACAGCCTCAGCCCCCAGAGCAAACCCAGGGCTCTGCTGCCCTTCATTTGCTCTCCCAAATTGCTGCTCCGCTTATTTTGCACAGATTCATTTATTATTTTTTGCATCTCTGCAATTAACTGATTTGCAATTCATTCCTATGCAAGCAGAGCTGTTCCTGTCCAAGTCGAGGAGCTGTAAATCTCGGATCTATTGAGCTGACAGGGGAATATATTTCATTTTTCCCCATGAATCATTTGCCATCCTTATTGCAGAAAAATGGCAAAATTATGGTGTACTGTGTTTTCATAAATTACTGCTTCTCTCCCCCCTACACCCTCCTAATTTGTAATTTCCTGGGAGGAAGAGGAGTGTGGGAACCCGGAGTAGCCGCGTGAACCCGGCTTGTCTCTCCAAAAATCCTCCAAAAATCTCTTGGATTGTGCACGGAGCAACTAAAGCAGCTTCCATGTGAATTAAAAAATTGGTAACTGCTGCTGAGGTTATTTTGATTTGGTGTTAAGAGATTCTCTGGTTAAATTGTGCCGTAGGGAGGAGGGAGCAGCAAGCAGGGATACTTCACTGGCAATTTTCCCCCCTTTCCTGTAGATTGCTGCTCTCTTGTACCCAAACCCTGTGACCTGCAGAAAGGTCAGATTTTTCCTGCTTTAGGAATGCAAAAAAAATCCTTACCTAAAAGCCTGTGGCTCACAGAGCAACATTTCAAATCGTATCCATAATATTTATTTTGAAACCCTAGGAATAAATCTGCATTTCCCACTGGAGGCTGAGCTGTGTCTCCAGCTCTGAGCAGTGACCGAAGCAGCTCCCTGGGTTTATCCAGGTCCATCCCCAACTCCTCTGGAAGTCAAGTTCTTTCTGGTTTAAAAAAACGCAAAAAATGTTCATCACAGTAAGCTGCTAAATTGTTTTCAAAATTGGCCATTTTTTAAATGGAGCTTATCCAGCTCTGGCAGCACTTCAGGTTGCACTGAAGCATTAAATAAAAACCGCAGACAAAACGCTTTGAAAAGGGTTAATTAGTTTTAATATTGATTTATTCCATATAGGGCAGTAATAGACTTGAACATTTATTTCTGGTTTGGATCATTAAAAACGTCTTTGGTTCCTGGAAAATTTGTTTCTAATAAATAATTTAAAAATAAAAATAAAAAAAAAAAAAAAAGACCAATTAGAGTAATTTGGGGTAATCTGTGATTTTAAAAA